ACCGTCCCCCCCGTACCGTTTGGTTCGCGCGTTTCGCCAGCTTATCCGAAACTGCGTTTAGGTTTTTACACGAAACACAGGCCGCGGGTCGACCCCTGCGGCCGGCCCGCGGGCTGAGTTTCAGGATAAACAGCTTATCCTGAAACGCACAAGCTGCCCCAAACGGACTCTAAGGCTTTGTTGTTGTTGTACTTGAAACGAGCAAGATCACTCTACAATTTGGAAAAGTTAAAACTTTGTTTGTCTTTATTTTTATTCTTTTACTCAAATTGAGTAGACACGCCAAGGAATATGGTCGGCGAATGTAATAAATAAATGAATCAAGTCCAAATTTTTTTATTCACTGTAGAATCCAATTAAATTTTTCTCATCCATAAAAAGAATCACCTTGACTCGTTTGAAGCATCGAAAATGCCCACGCTATGCCACTCAGTGAAGACAAATGTCATTGATGAGACATGCTTGAATAGGACTTGAATTTGGCTCGATTGTCATTGAAATCTACTAAATATTCTTCATTCGCAAAGTTGGTGGTGACATTTTCAAAATGTTGAAAATGTCTTAAATAAATACTCATATTATCTTAATCTCTGGACGAATGTGAAATGCAAAGCTAACCTAAGTTTGAGGTTGATGATACAAATTTTGAGAGATGTGTACGATGAATTTTGCGAATAAAGATAAAAGTATAATGCTAAATATGTGAGTAAATAGAAATTAAATTAAAATTAAGTTTAAAATTAGCTAAATAAAGATTGTTATTATTAATGTCATTCCTTGCATAATTATGCTATACTCAATCCTGTATGCCAATCCCATCATCCCATTGATTCACGAAGCCTTCTCCACTCCTCCTCGTATGAATTACTAATGTCGAAGCCCTCTCTTCTCGATCATCCCAAGCTCCCAGATACACCCAAACTCGCATTGTATTTCTCCCCTCTTCATCTTATATGGTCTAGAGCAGTCAATAAAACACCCCCTCTTTGTTTGCTTCCTATTCTCATTTAAAAGCTCTTGTCAATCTAAGTTTGTGTCCGGGCACACCGTTTTCCCCATTCTTCCTCTTTGCCACGAAGTGAAAAATTCATATCTGCCCACTACTCGTCTTCTAGCCATATCCTAGTTCTGGAAACCCTCACAGGTCTCCCTCCTTGATTTTGCACAACTCGTCCATGAATCCCTGTATCACACCCCAAACATCCACTTTTTTTGCCTCATTGATGTACTTATCTTTTTCAATTTGCTCGCTTATTTCCTCTTTTATCCTCAAGCCCCTACTCGCCACTTCTTTCGTTCTATTACACTTACCAACTCTGATCACCTCATGCATTATCACTTCTTTCATTATCTATACTTACACTTACCAACTCTGATCACCTCATGCATTATCTATATCATCTTATCTACATTTTTGTATAAATATATGCATCTATATATTATATTATTCAAAAGGAAAAAATTAAAGAGTTAAAAATATATTTAATTTCATTTGAATTTGCAAAATTCATTGTCACCTCATCATTGTTGTCGCTTCATGCACAAAGTTTTAAAATGTAGGAAAATTTTAAGTGCCCATTCAGGTTGTTCCAATTTGACAAAAAAATTTGTTAAATAAATACTCATTGTTTTGTTCTAATGTGGCGAGCAATTTGTGTTCATCTTTTTTCATGCAGAATTAAGGCCTATAAACGCTTTATTAGGCGACGTGGGTTAGAGGACCCCTATCGTCATGGGTGTCTCCTAACACTTACCATCACGTTTTTTTAAGCATGGTGAGAAGTCCAGTTCTTGCCTTGATGCCCCTTATGTTGAGGAGACATTGAGAGAGTACTGAAATTTTCGGTGATTTGGACTTACAAAGAACTAAAAATTAATGCTTAAATTGGACAATTGACGTTAATGCGACATAAAATAATGGCAAATAAAAATATGTCAAAATAAATAATTTAAATATTATACATTTTACGTTAAAAATGAAAATAATAATACTATTACAAGAATGAAAGTTAAATAGGAATGAAATTGGCCAACAACAATAATTTGTTCACAAACATTAGCACCATTTTTACTGAATCCTTGAAAATTCAAAACTTGAAGTTTGAAGGGTAAACAATTAGAGTTATTTAAATTTTCGTTCATATTTTATGAACTAGTTTGCAATTTAAGTACATATTTTTGAAAAATATGCAAATGTTTTGAAAACGATGTTATCTTAATTATCCAAAAAGTGCTTAAGCTTGAGCGTCTGGGAATATTGTGCATTTTAACATAAATTTTTATTCAAATTGCTCTATGAGAAACATACAAATCTTCTTTTTGAATTTTTTACACTTTTAAAATTACGTTCACTATCTCAAGATAATTAAATTATGGTTGTTTTTTAGCGGCCAGTCTTATCAATTAAACATGGTTGTATGTTGCACATAATCTCTCATCCTCGTTCTTATAAGGATTAGAGTTATGATATTGATATTTTTAATGATATTAAACTAACGAATTTCAAATTAATTACAAAATACAAGCATTTCAAGTATCAATTCCTTATGATGACCGTGTTTACCGGTGTCAATTTTTTAAATGAAGTTTAAATCAAAATTTTCATATCAACATATCAAAATATTCATCTAAAATTTTATGACCTAAATTTTCGAGCAATCTTATCCATCTTTCACAACAGCTGTTAATTATGATTTATTTATAATCAATCTCAAATTACAAAGAGTAAATTTTACATTGTATATATTATTATATTCACACTCAAAAGTGATCTTTGTTAGTAAGGATGTAGCCTAAATTCTATCGGCATGGTTACGCTCAATGACTCCACAAAAGTAACGGTTATAACAAGAGCATTTTGACTGTGTGGTTGCCTTCACATGACAACATTAAATAACAGACATGATCGTAACTCATAAGTTTTGCAATGACTTGTAGCCCTGAAATTGTGAATTATAAATGTGCTTTTGGCTCAATTGCTCTAAAAAAAGTAGCAGTTATGATCATATATCTTCTATCGAGTGTTTGCCTCTAAATGGCACCATTAAATTGCAGTCATAGCTGTAGCGTGTATGTTCCTAATTACTCGTACCCTTTAAGCTATGAATCATAAGGGTACATGTGATTGATATAAATTTTTCTATCAATCAATATTGATTTAGATTTATTATTTTTGACAAACATCCACCCCAAGGTTTATAAGATTTCCTCAAATAACATTGCTCATTGCTATTAACAACGATTTTTAAATTTATCATTTTTGACAAACATAGATTTCCTTGAATAACGTAGCTCGTTGCTATTAGCAAAAATTTTTTTGGCCAAATTGGGTCAACTACCTCATTTGACCATAACAACTTTGAATGATGAAATCATTGTATCTTGGTTGGGTTTGTCATTATTTTTTCCACCATTCACTCTTAGGTCACGGTTTTAATTTTATAATATGTAATTTAAACTGTAATTGTTGCTATTATACATTGAATATAATTAACTTAAGGGGCTTGTGCAATCCTAGATCTTCAAGTGCTTGCAAAATAAGAGTGAAATCACTAGATAATGTCTTGTCTAAAATCTTATTTGTTTTCAAAAATATTTAACTTGAATTCAAAAAAAAAATATTCACATATCGCGGAAGTTGGGGCACGAATTTTGTGAACCTACAATCTGCATCTTCAATCTCATAGAAGCTCAAAATCTACTTAATTACAGCTAAGTTAAAGGATATTAGTAGAGATACATTAACCCCAATGGATAATAGTGGAATACTTGAAATTGCTAATCTTTCTCTTGATGAGTCATCTTTGAAATCTTCGAAAATTGTGTTTTTTTAGATGAAGTTGAAGACTTCATTGAATATGGCGTTAGCATTAGTGCTAATGATGGCCCTTGCATGGTGTGTGTTAACTCCATTAGTAATGCTAGTGTAGTCATATTTGGTTTGATTGTTTTGAGGATGACATTGGGTATATACTTTTTAAATATTTTTTATATATTTTGAAAGTAATAATAATATTTGTCAAAGAAGTGACAAATAAAAATGTTATTAATTGCTCATTAGCTAAAAAGTTTATTTTTTTATTATTAATTATGTTTGTTTTTATTTTATCACTAAAATTTGTTTTATAATATTAGATTTCATCATATAATATTTTTTTAAGAGAGAATAATAGCAATTATTTATCTCATACTATTAATTTAGAAAGCATAAATATATATCCATGGCATATAATGTTCTACCTTGTGCAATTATGTCATGCTACCTTTATGGGTCATGTCCAGGACCCTTATGTTCATTCTATATTAATAATAAATGCCTAAGAAAGATTTATTTTATAAACTTCACATCTTTTCGGTGAGTCTTAACCTCTTTGCGTTAGATTAGAAATTATACTTATTGCTCTAGCATATCATGAAAATTTTGCTAGTTGAAATGATAAATGCTATATCATATTATTGTTTATCATGATCTTTGATTTGCCGATCCCACTTAGTGAGATAAATGCTTCTTGTTGTTATTATATGATATTCTATCCGCCAATTTTTAATGTCCTCGCATTTTGGATGCCTTTTTTTCCTATTTCTATTGACGACTCCACCCAATCCAAAAATGTCACAATTATCTCCAATCTGATAATTGTTGTGCAATTAGCAACACCTAATTACAGCTAAATAGAATTGACTTGGCTTACAATTGTTTTTAATCAATGAATGATATCAATGTCCAGTTACAATTTAGTATAATTAATGTAAGGAAGATTTACATACATATCACACAATTTTTATCTATATACATATCCAAACACCTATGTTTCAATTTTTGCATATTTGCACCTTATCTATGCTTAAAGGTTAAAATAGTGGCATTTTTTCGTGTGATATGAAACATTTGGGTGGTGTAAACATAAAAAATGTCTAGTTTAGGTGACAGATATGTAAATACATAAGAATCGGGGCGGTATATATGTAAATTCCTCTAACCATGTAGTTAGAATCTGATTACCAAATAAACAAAGTTGAAACAGAGCTGCTGCCCCAGTTACTAATTCCTTTTACTCCCATAATTAATTTTCTATTAATCCATAATCTCCCCTTACAGGTTTGTGCCAGCGTCTCATATGAATCTACCAATATGAACGAGCTTGTTCAATGGAATGAACTTTATGGGGAAGGTGGATCAAGGAGGAAGAGCTCTCTAAGTTATTTCATGTAGCATCATCATTTTGTATATAGAATTTCTTTTCTTTTTTTCTTTTTTCTTCCTTTTTTTATCCTTTCGGGTCAGAGAGTTCCCTGATTAATTTATATAGGTAATAGCACTCATTTTCAGTTTATTTATTGTAAATCTTATGCTTGGAAGATCATCAAGCAATTGTTCTATTCAGTGTTTAACATGCTATATTTGAGCATATGCTTTAACAACATAAAAGTTTTTTTTTTTTTTTTTCCTTTTTTTTTTTTTTTTTTTTTTTTTTTTTGCATTTACTTGTGTCACAATCAATTTTTGATTTTTAATAAATGAGTTGATTATTTATTTAGGTTTTTATTTATTAACTTGTTTGATAAATAAGAGCTGCAAATGAATATAATCTCTCGATTATTGTGTACAATTATAGAGACAGGTGATGCATGTGTATACTCGTATAAGGCTATAAATATGAATATGAACTAGCAAAGGTTGGTTCATATTTATTTTCTTAAATATAGGAGCTTATAAAAAGTAGTTAATAATGTATTTTTTGATAGTCGACCAGTTTTCTAAATAAGTACTTTTTCTACTAGGTGGTTCATTGGAAAGTTGCTTTGTTCTGGTTAACCAGGAAGTGCCGAGTCTCATGCCATTTGCTTTACGGTAGCCATTTGCTTCAGTATAGGATTTTATGCAGTTTCTTTATAAATGGAACATTTACATACCAACTACTCAGTTCTTACATATTTATATGTCTAATATCTGGACTTTAATTTTTATATGTTACCTTATGTATGCATGAAAAGCTGTATTTTACATTTTTTGATGTAAATAATGTTGATATTTTAGATGTGATGTAAAAGACTGGTGGTATAAAAGTAGAAATTTCAAGTGTCATCTCTGTAAATACATAAGAATTAGGTGGTATGTATGTAAATAATCCATTATAAATTTGCAATTTTGATTTCTGATAGAAAGAATACTTCTTTTTCACATTTGCAAATTAAAGAATGGTCGTCTAAAAAAAGTAAAAAATCTTTTAGAACATGGTTGCAGTTTAGGTTGTAAACCAGCCGAGCTTGAGCAAGTGCTCGAATGGTTCGTGAACAATGTGTTCGTGTTCGGCTCGAATAACATATTCTTGTTCGTGTTTGGTTCGTGTTTTGCTTGAATAGGCTCGGTAAAATATAACTTGTCGCAGAATCGCGTCAATAATATTGCGAATGGCAGAATAACTCGATAACACCTGAGAAACACCCGTAGTAATACATGAGTAATACCCAAATGGTGCGGGTGTTATTACAGGTGTTACTCGGGTGTTGTTCTGTGGTGTTAGAGATGTTATTCTGGTTTTTTTGAATAATATCGTGGAATAACATCAATAATAACGCGGACGGCGGAATAATATCAATAACACAACGAGTGTTACTCAGTGTTATTACACGATCTTACTGGTACTATCGGTGTTACACGGTGGAATAACACCAATAAAACCAGAGCGGAGGAATTACACCAATAATATCTCGGAATATTGAATACTTTTATATTTATATTATTTATTTATTTTTTTTCGAGCTAATTCGAGCAAAACACGAGCGAACAAATATTTGTTCGTGTTCAACTAGTTTAAATTTCGAGCATAAGAATTTGTTCGTGTTCGACTCGTTAAGCTTATCGTTACACGAGTTGTTCGCGAACAACGAGCCATTTTGACAGCCCTAGTTGCATTATTTTAAACAATACAAAATGAAGCATAGAGTTTGACTTCAAAATAGTTCTTATTGGTTTTAGTGTCTTTTTAGACATATCACACATGATAAAATTAATATGGGTAGTAAAATGTATAAAATAAAATAAAATGCTAGCTCAAATTATGTTTTATTTATTGTCATTATCACCATCATGCTAGCTCCATACAAAGCATAGCAAGAAATATTTTCAGCTTCATTGATATAATCTTAGAAAGAGAAGGGTACATTTTATATGAGCCCGCTCTGGCAAGACTAGTGCACATCACCGGCATCATACTAGCCATCTTCGGAGGAGACGGATTTGAAACTTCGCGAAGGTCCAGCTTGAAGTTATTAATAACAAGAGAGGTCCACTCAACCTCCCTAGTGAAGTGTGTAACACCATTACATCCTTTCATCACTTTAATTGACATCGATCTGTCTGCTGGCCGGAACCCCTTCAATGATGTTATCATGGTCACTACGGTGATCGTGGATTACCGAATCAAAAGTATCCATGTGGACACAAGTAGCTCTGCCAACTTTCTGTTGAAAGGAGTGTTTCAGTAAATTGGCATAGCCGTTAATCGACTTGATCCCATCTCAGGTCCATTCTACGGGTTCCTCGATGAAGAAAAAAGATCTACGGAATAATCACATTGCTTGAGACATGGGTAGAAGGAGAACACCAATACACAATGTCAGCTAACTTCATCATCATGGAAGCTCCTATCATATAGAATTTTTCAGACAGTGACATCCACTTGTCATATTGTTGTAAAGTTTCCAGTAGGAGGACAAGTTGTCTCTAATATAATCCAATTCTAGACTTGTTATCTACGATCTGTGGTGAATGTAGAAAAATACCATGTTTAGCTCAACAATAATAAAGGCAGTGGCCTCAAAGCCAATGAGATTATAGAACTAGTACCTATTTCTTAAGATGAAGTGGGTAGAACCTTCCAGATCAGCTTCGATTTCAGCAGAAATCATCAAAACTAGTTAATGGTCAGCCTGAAAGGTCATAACAATGTATTCGGATGGACGTTAAATGAGTTTAAAAACTACATTGACATCAGTAGTCACCAGCTGAATGTGAGGCTAGGAGCAAAGCACCATCTAAGACAGCCTTGTCAACTTTACCCACATATGGATCTAGCACTTTCAAGGTCTTTACAAGAGGATTGCAAGAAGCAACTTACTCTGTGGCGTTACACTTCATAGAACATTTGGTCCTCTTCTATGATTCCTCATCTATAAACATAAGATTCTTTAGTCTCTGTTGATGAAGTCTGACTTGAAGGCACGACCTTGTGAATTTCATCACTTCAACGACAGCCTTATCCACAATGGAACATCGGAACTGAAAATTTTCAAAATCACAGCAAGGAGTCTCTCTGCTTCAAAATGGAAACTTACGGTTCCCATGAAATACCTTTTTATGACTCATAAGGGAGCACTCTTAAAGTTTGTTAACCACCATAATTAATGTTATTTTTTAATATTAACTTTCATTTCTTTGGACATCATATTAGTGTAACAATAGACATTTAGAGCACATACACATGAGAACATGACAAGCATGATGCGACATTTATTCTCTAACAAAAACATTATCAAGAATAGGAAAGTCTCAACTCCAACACTTGTTACCTTTATCTTTTCAAACTTAAATCCAACTCTTTTGGAAAACTACCAGTTCTCGTCGTAAAACAGCTCGAACAATTAACCTCTATCATAATTGGATGCAAGACCATCAGGTTTCAACATATCAAGTATTCATAAATAAACTCCTTGCAAGGGAGCCAAGAAACCCGAAAACAAACTGATCATATGCAACTGGAAGCTTAAGAGTCTACTCCCTCCAAGTGTAGCATAGAGTGCCCACAGGCAATGGTTTGTCCTAAATCAAAGATGAGCATAAGATAGCCTAATTCTTCACAAGTATAGCCGAAGTGCCCCCAGATCAAGAAAAATTATGTTATTAATCATATTGCGTTCATGCTCGATGAACTTTTAAATTGAGCTGTAAATTGCAATAAGAAATGAATATTTTAACATTCATAGGAAACCAAGAATCTTCATTAACTTGTTATAGTCACTAATCAAAGAACCAAGAGAACAGTGAAACTAAATGTATACCTAAATACAGCCGTATAATTTAATAAGGCTTTTCAAGGGCACAAAATAAGTAAGGATCAATAAACCTTATGAGCTTTGAAGGTCTGCGTCCAAGGATTAGGCCATTCACAAGCCAAGCCTACTTGCCAAAGTGGTCGAGCTAAGCCAACCTGTTGGAATAATCAAATTGAGCCCACCTGCAGAAGTTGTCAACCCAGCCCAGGACAAATCAGTTACCAGAGAAGATCGTCATTGCACATAAGGATGTGTATCCATCCATATTTAAATCACTATCTACGTTGTGATCTTTTCATCAATGCATCACAAACAATCGTAGTAATGTATTTAGTATAATTTTATATTTTCTTTCTCCCATATATAAAAGGGTGCTTTGAGAGGCTATCAGGGATCAGCTTTAGAGATCTCAAAAAAGGACTCACGGCCTCAAAGTCTCTCTTCTCTCTTTTTCTCCCTCTATACTAGACTCTTCTCTCTATATACTAGGAAACAAAGACCATTTCTTTGAGCCCATCCCGACAGCCCAGAGATCATGAAAAATATGAAGTCTTATGAACGAGCTTTAACAACACATCCATAATCTCCTTCCATACCTTCCTCCTAAAAACAATGTCTTTACTGAGTTGTATGAACTCATGGATAATACGAGACTCTACATACTAAAAGGATTCAACGACATCAAAAGTACAAAATAATAACTCAACATGTTATTTTATAAAAATCATAAAATATTAATTCATTAAAAAGATTTTGAATCTTTTTTATTTTGAAAATAAATTATCTTTCGGTAGTTAATTCAAAAACATGTATTGGATAAATGTTTCTGTTTACTATATTCACCTATAATTTATATTACAAAATAAGAAATATTTCTTAAGTGAGAATATAGTTTGAACAGATTTACATTATGAGCTCCTGATTAGGAGGAAAAAAAAAGGAGCATTTACATAAATACCAGTCATCAGTCAAGTCCTAAGAATTTAAATATCTAACACATAAATTAAATATCATCATTTTAACTTTTAAAAGGTGAAATACACCTTATTCATGCATAGGGTAAGTGTTATGTATGTAAAAATTGAGTTATATGCAACAGATATGCAAATACATAAGATTTGGGTGGTATGCAGTAGATCTTTCAAAAAAGATAAATGAATAAAATATTGGCTCAGAACATTTTATTCTACAAAAAACTACATAGCATGTACATTAAGGGGATATTATATGCAATTTATGCTGAAGATGACATTACAACAACAATTCATTAAAGAAACTATAGATAAAGCTAAATAAAGACTGTTAGAAGCTCATCCATAACCGACAGGAAGACTTGATATATTAACTTAA